TTTGGCTGTGGAGTGATGGGAGCTCTTTTCACTATACACACTGGTGCCCAGGAGAGCCTACTGGTGGCAACCAGAATTGTCTCCAGATAAATTATACCCGTAATTCAGAGCTTAATATTTAACATGAATACTTAATATGTGAATGATTTTAAATGAATTTACTAATTTCTGTTTTTGAACTTTGCAGCTTCCAAGTGTTGGGATGATCTGGAGTGTGGCGTACATCGGCCATCTGTCTGTGCCAAGAAAAAATCAAAAAATCAACACTCCTCGGCTGACACTGAAGCATGAAACTCCTATAAAAACACAAACTGATGTATAATAGTGTTTGTGTTATGCTTGCTCCTACTTCTTTCATTTTCTAGTTACATTTTTTTTTCCTTTCTTGGTAGCACCCAATCTAAAAATCCAAATGACAAATCAACAAAAACTGCATTGTCTTTTAGGAGCCACTTGTGTCTTTAACAAGAGCAGACTGATTCTGTTACCACAGCATTGATCGTACAAAACTGTTGCTTCTTCTGTTTATCTCTTTATTTTTGCTCTTTTATGCAACATTAAAGCTATCAGTCAAGCATCTATCTGTGTTACATCTCTTGTGTTAAGGCATATACATATTCAGCAGTCATAATATGCATGTATTAAAACTGGGGAATTTAATATTTATCTGCATTTGACATGACAGTTTGATCACCTTTTTGACTACTTTGTGGCTTCAGTATTCCTAATAGAACAGCCACTTTTTAGGTGTCTCTGTACAGTTGAAGTAAGGTGAAACAAATATGAGTCTCTTCCTCTCTCTCTTCAAAAAAAAAAAAAAATCCCCTTGCTTCTGTGGATGGTCTTTATCCTTCAAGCTTGGGTTCTCTACCAGATGCCTGGAAGCTTGAGAGTATCTCAGCTGTTCCTAGGAATGGGCTCTTCTGGACAGAGATTTCTGATGTTGTTCCTGGGATTTGCTGGAGCCACTTGGCTAGTTTGGAAGTCATTGCTCCGAGTGCTCCGATTACCACTGGGACCACTGTTACCTTCACCCTCCACATCTTCTCGAGCTCTTGGTATTTCTCCAGCTTCTCATATTCCTTCATCTTGATGTCTGTGTCATTCGATTCACTACATCTATCACTACGGCCGTCTTCTTCTGTTCGTCTACCACCACTATGTCCGGTTGGTTAGCCATCACCATTTTGTCCGTCTCTATCTGGAAGTCTCACAGGATCTTAGCTCGGTCATTCTCCACCACCCTAGGGCGCGTCTCCCATTTTGACCTCGGGACTTCAAGGCCCTACTGTATCCAGGCCACTAGGGTATACTATGCTGGCCATTTGGTTATGACGTTCCATGTATGCCCTGCCTGCTAGCATCTTGTATCCTGCTGTTATGTGCTCCATTGTCTCAGGGGCATCTCTGTCTCTCTCGCTCTGTGCAAGCTTCAATATCTGTGAGCACACCCCACTTTGCAGTTATTTATTTGTAAAAAATGTTTGGAATCATGTATGATTTTCGTTCCACTTCTCACGTGTACACCACTTTGTACGACTTTGGTCGTTCACGTGGAATTCCAGTACAATTGATTAATGTTTGTGGCTGTAATGTGACAAAATGTGGAAAAGTTCAAGGGGGCCGAATACTTTTGCAAGTACTTTTGTGTGTGTGTGTGTGTGTGAGTGAATGCATGTGCACATGAGTGCACAGTGTGCACAGTTTGAACTAAGACTTACAAATTTAAGTAAAATAATGGCAACATTTAACAATTTGACTCTAACAGCACCTCTGCTTGTTCAGTGTCTATGACATAATTAGACTTTTCAGATCCACACATGTAGATTTGCTTTATTTTTTGACTAGATTTTTTTCTCTCATAACC